ATATAGGATGCAACACGCTGGGGGTCTGTTTAAAATAAATATTCATGCAACATTGTCTAACATGCAACTGGTCAGTTGGGCCTTGTTAAAGTATACATTGACAGGTGATATATTTTGGCGCAAGTATACTAAATTATTTCAGTTGGATCAGTTTGAAAGCTGCGACTTTTCAAGCGAAGGGCGTCGACACCGCACAGTCCGTTCATGATTATATCAAAAACACTGTTGCAGTTTCACCATGCAACTGACATATCGCAATCATGCACATGCAGCAATTGAAAATCATTACCTGGCCCGTTGTCGGAGATGATGGAGTTGTAGAAGTAACTGAGACAACAAATGATCCTCCAGAAATCACGGAAAAGCAGAGAATGAGAGAAAATCTGAACATTGTTGAAATTTTTCTTGAGTTTCCCACTAGTACAGACAGTGTTGATCACTCAATAAATGGCGAGGTCTGTGTTGCTCTGTTTAGCGAGTTCTAGATGTGTTCCACGAGCACTGCAGCTACTGCCTTTTATTTGTTTTTGGCCAGAAATAACGCTCATTGATATGTATATATCATCACCCTTTAGGATGAATTTGTTCCACAGTATGAATTATAATAATCTGTCTAACTGTCAGATTTGTTTTAGATATCCCACACAAGAACACTAATTACTATATCACTGACGCGCACTTCATTGGGAAGGGATTTTTTCCTCCAACATAAACTTTGAACTTTCCAAACATATCATGACCAAAACTTCTACTAAGTTAGTTCGTCTAATCAGCAACAAGCCGGGCTTTTGCTAGAGATTGAATGGAAATATTTCCCCGATGTTCGTGAAATGCCCGACCTAAAAAAAACCCTTTTTATTATATATTTCCTATGTTTAACATTTTCAAATCATTTTTAAGTATACAAACTGCCTGACCAGCCCCCCTCCATCGCTTCCCCCCTCTTACGTCTATGAATGGAGACTGAAGGTAAGCATGCAGGATTGCATGAGTAACAAGGGCATTATTAAAACTGTACTGCAATCTGCAGCACGCCATTTCCTGCATTCTGGGAGCAATTTTAACAAAAAATCAGTAATGATAAACAGTGACACAATGATTATAATTTCATAGTGTGTGTCTCAATTGTATACTATACAAGTATCCAATCACTAAGTATTCAAGTACTTTTGGAGTTTTGGTCCACATGATCAGGTGATGATAATAAAAGATGTGCATGTTTGCCGTTGCAATATTTAGGATGCTAATTCGTACTTCTATACGTTCATCAGAAATTAAATAAATTTCATTCAGGATCTGTTTTCTCTAAACTTGAAGTCTTCCTGTTTTTAATTTTTTCCACAAAATATCTTGCCGAGTTGACTCATTGCTAGTTACGGGCCCGCGTAATGCCACAAGTGTGACATTCTATAAGGCCGCATGTTAGTAATGTCACAGTTGCAATTTTTATGCAACTCACTTGCTTGTATACACTACTATAATACATGCAATGGCTAAAATCGCTAAAATTATTGCACCAAGTAGAAATGGGTTCTACCGTTTGGCAATGCCAATGCATGGTTGCAGAGATTAAAAGAAGCGTGACGTATATTAATAAAAATTACGGGAACCACTGAGTATTTTAATAAAATATAAAACTAGAGGGCACTCAGAGACTGCATACCTCCGCCCGTTACTCGGAAGTGAAAGGCAACCTTGGAATTTCCTAAGAAATCCACTTTACAATTCTTAAGCATAAAAGATTTCAGGCCCCCGCGAATTGAAATCGAATTGCTAATAGAACATATTACTGTTGTTGTGCTGTACAGTACTTGTAAAATAAAAACTTATTAAGTGTCATTAAATAAATGCATAAATTTTGCTTTATGCACTCGCGCGTGCAGTAATTTTCACAGTTGTGCTATTTTAAATTCCCAGGCAGCTAAAATCTTTTGTCTTTAAAACAATGTCGATTTCTTGGGAAATTCCGAGGTTGCGTTCTTTTTATACACCCTGTATTGAAGTAATCTAATGTTGTTAGAATTTGAATGGACTGGCACTTTGCTGAACGTAATAATGCGTAACTCCGTAAGCCTTGTTTTAGACATTGAATTTCGGTCGCGTGAAATGCAACTAAGACAATAGATAATGAAGGCCGAAGCTTAATGAGGTTTATCATCTCATTATTGTCTTAGCACTGAGTGCATAAATTATACATGTCCTAATTACGCATTCAGTAATATTTTTTGTTAATTGACCGGGAAAAGCAAGACAAAATTTTGTTCATTTCTCGTTCAATTTTTAACCAAATTCAACCAAATTTTAATCAGTTCTTCCTTAGCCGATGGGAAATGCATTCAAAAAATTTCGTACGGATATGTTTGGTATTTCTTGAGTTATCGTGCTCACAGACAAACACACACACATACACACACACACACATACACACACACACATACACACACACATACACACACACACACACACATACAAACCCAGATGATTACATAACCTCCTGGCGGAGGTAAAAACCCAGATGATTACATAACCTCCTGGCGGAGGTAACAACGGTAACTCCGAAAATAAACATTTTAATAATATATGACTGAATCTTAGTCGAAAGCTAGAATATTATTAAAATGTTTATTTTCGGAGTTACCGTTGTTTTATATTGTATATTAATAAACTGATCGAAAAAAGAGGAAATGTGTACCGGTTTGCGGAAATGTTTTAACTTAGTTATGACTTATGTTTCAAAATATTTTTGGATTTGTAGGGCAATTTTTATCAACGTCGGGTAAATTTTGTCCCCCCCCCCCACCCATCCCCCCTATGTTTTTCCTCCCATAGTGAAGCCCATGCTGAAACATCGCCGAATACTGTACGAGTATATAGGCAATTCTGACTATAAAGTTTCCCAATGGCAATGTCAAAACAATTAGTGTGCTAAATTAAATTAAATTAAAATTAAATTAAAGATTAGCGAAAATCCACAGCCATTTGGCTGTGGAAATTTGTAATCATATTTTCGCTTAATCTTGTTTAGGATTAAGTATAATCCAGAATTTTACTGCCGAGTGAACAAACTCATCCCAAACTGATGGGAAACAATTTAAAGTGCCCCTGTCACAAAATGAGAGTTTACATTAATAGAATCGTCTTGAAACGTAGATTATGAAAATACAAAACAGATTTAAAATTGAGCTTGTTTTCACAGAGTAATAAGGCAATGAAATTTGAAAATTTCAAATTTTAACGGCAAAAGTTTTTGAAAACCGCGAAGCTGGGAAATTGGTAACTAATACGTCATAGTAGGAAGACATTGCCTACTCGCCTAAGCCAAAAGTATATAAATACTAAGTGAGAATCACAATCAAGCTGGTCAAAATTCGATACAAATGTCTTCGTCGAGTTCAGATACGGAAAATAACAGTTACCAAAGCAATGACTGACTGAAATTATATTCCTGAGCCGTATGAAATCGAGTGAAATTGACGAAAACACCAGTGAAGCGTAGTCAAGCAGCGCCGATCATTCGTGCGCACGACGTTGGTCCATATGTTAATGAACCAGTGCCCGACGAAGATTGGCTCAAAAGTTACCGTGAAAAAAAGCAATCACGACGAACGTCTTAAGCAACTACAACAAAGGCTTGATAGTTCAGAAGAATTGAGTAAATGGTAAATATTTTGTTGCGTGACTTGACCTTGCGTTTCGTGACTTGCCAGTGTTTCTACATACACAGTATTCAAATTACAAAATATAATATTTCAGGTGTAAACGTGGCAATTGTCGCATTGAACTGCTTTGTAAATTATGCTAAAGAGTGTCAATGTTGTATGGAAATTGAGGAGTGCGTCGATTCTCTACACAGTAACATTGTGATTTGTGATGCAAGATGAAGTCGCGCCATCATGTATAATTCAACAGCTTATCACTAGATAAGTGAGCCCTCCGTTCAGCAGCCACGAAATTACGAACAAGAAAGAAGTAGGAATACCGTCAAACAAACACAGAAGATGGGAAAATAAAGTTTTATTTATCAACATATTGAAATTATGAAACACTTTACCGTACCCGAGTTTACTATCAGTGAACACACGCATGCCGGCATGCGGTACGATAACTGAGAGTTTATATAGTATATACGGTACATGCTGTACAATTATTGAATTATTATATATTTACATGTGTCCACATGCAAGTAAGCGACTCATTAAAAAGACTTATTTATTAATTTATAGATTCTGAAGGAGCACAGCATATAGAAACTTTATGTAGATGAGAAAATAATGCCTGTAGGCTGCATGCTATTGATGAAGACTTTGTAGGATTTGTAGAGGACAGCTCTTGATATTATAGAATTATTTTTCAATAAATAAACCTATTACACTGTATAAGCGTAGTAATATTATACTGTATTGCGTATAGAAACAGCACATTTGCTATATTCATGACTTTATTGACTTATTACAATATTATTTTGCTAAAGAGGCTGAAATTTAAGATTAAGATTTGTATCTGATGTTTTCCTGCACTTCGTGCGCGCGGGTTAATTTGTGCAAAGTGTTGCAGCGCGTATTTTTCTGACTTGTATTTCGTTCCAGGCATGTTCCTAGCAACTGTGGCAATGACTAAGTTATTTCATTAAGTTGCTTCAATGGATTATACTTTGTAATACATTTTATACACATCCCCACAGTGTATCAAGTTTCATGCCACAATTTGTTACAAAATCTGCATATTGTACGGGTTTTCCCTGCGGTCAAATACAACGATTTTCACTTATACAATTCTACTTTACCTGTCTAATCTAAAATACAAACAGTACACATTGCTTGTAGACGTAAGAAATTGGCTTTCATCCACTATATTTAATATTTTGACCATATTCACTCATATATTGTCGCGATATTTTATATTTCGCATGGTAAATCCAGTGACTGTGGCTCATTTATATTTATCGCGCTTTCGAGTTTCGTGACTATGGCCAAATATCGACTGACTGCATTGAAGCAGCTTCTTTTACAATTTGCAGCTTATTTTTACAATAACGAATTTGTAATCAAAATTGCACCTTGTATCTCATATTGCTCGTTCAAGGTGCACGAAGTCAACCCGTCTCCTTTTCGCTTCGTGCATCTCGTCTCCAGTAAAAGGTATAAAATGAAGTGAAATGCCTTTCTCTGTATCTGTGATATTAGAAAAACCGCCTACTACACATATATTCGGCAATTTTTCATTTTCGTGACTGTTATTTGCGCAATTGCCTCCTCTATGATAGTACATGCAATAGTATTTCTACATCAGTGAGCTAGATAAGTTCCTACTATTACGTCACACGCATTGTTTCGTCCCAGTCTCTTCTGCGCGGTTTTCAGATTTTTCACAAGGCCAAATTCAATGTTTAAACGGCAATAACTTTTACACTAAAAGAGCAATTTCGATTCTGTTTTCGAATTTCCGTATATTTTGTATCATAGATTTCGAAAATATAAACTCTCATTTTGTGACAGGGACACTTTAAACAATCCATATACTTAGTTTGTTACTGATATTTACTAAGACAGAGTCTATGTATACTATTTATAATTATAAAACTCATTAATAATTCATAAGGAAAATACAAAAGAAATGAATGTTCAATCAATGTTTGTAAATCGGATAGAGATTTTGTCCTGATTTACATAAACCTCGACATAAACTTCAGCTTTGATTTTCTCGGCTTAAACAATATTTATTTTTAGAATTACTTCGCCAATAAACTCATTAAGCCCGGCGCACATTGGAGATATCAGCTGAGCTGAGCGTCACTCGTGACTGTTGGCGTAAGCAAGTTTCCCCACCAGGTGATCTCGTGTTCGTATTTTAGCCAATCAGCGCTCAGAAAGGGTTGTCCGAATAGAAATCCATTTTGATGTATTCAATCAATTATATCTTTCATTATTCTTTATGAAACTAGTTGAAAATTTGTAATTATGTTTGGTTATGAGAACTATAGCTCTGACAACAATATGGAATCGAAATAAAGTATAAACGATCCTTTTGCATGGTCGGCCTTTAAAAATTTCAGGCGAGAAGTAAAGCGACGTATAAGATTTTCGGAGAGAGAATATGTAAGAGAACAGATTAAAAGTAACAGAAACAACACCAACTCCATATGGAAATCTATAGGATCGTGTATACCGAAAAAATCAGCCACTCATAAAGTCTATAGTAAGGATCATAAAACTGTTGCTGATGAATTTAATGAATTCTTTGCCAGTATTGGTCAAAATACGGTTAAAAAAATTGAAAAAATGGCCGCTGATGAAAATTATGACCTAAATGAAAACCCTTTTAAACCAAGACATTATTTACCATCTGAACAATTTTCCTTTACCGCTGTTGAACGTGAAGAAGTTGAATCTATTGTTATGTCTATGGCACCAAACAAAGCTCCTGGGAACGATAAAGTTCCGATACATGTAATCAAAACTTGCTTGACTGTAATTTCACCTACCATCACTTCAATTATCAATGCTTCACTATTAACCTCTAGTTTTCCGAGCGTATGGAAAAACGCTGAAGTTGTTCCTATCCACAAGAGTGGTGATCATGAGATCGCAAATAATAATAGACCTATATCGTTATTGCCAGTGCTATCAAAGATCTGCGAACGAGCAGCTTATAATCAGTTTTCGACCTACCTTCTCTTGAATGATCGTTTATCGTCTAAACAAAGTGGAAACAAGCATCTACACTCAACAGAAACCTCGGTAATTCAGACTACAGACATGATCCTGAATGCCATTGACAAGAAACAGCTAACTGCGATTGTATTACTCGACATGAGCAAAGCATTCGATAGCATAGATACCACGACTCTGATTACTAAGTTAGAAGATGTTGGCGCGTCTTGTCAGGCGATTCAATGGTTCCAAAGCTACCTAACATCCAGGTATCAAGTAGTAAGAATACAAACAACCTTATCCGACCCTTTAGAGGTAAAGAGTGGAGTACCTCAGGGAAGTATACTTGGGCCACTTCTGTTTAGTATTTATGTGAACGATTTGCCATCAGTTCCACAACAATGTTCTCCCTATTCCTATGTCGATGACACAAAACTCCTAATGTCGTTTTCTCTGCAACACCAACAAAGAGCTGTCTCAGAAATAAATCAAGATCTCTTGAGAATACGTAATTGGTGTTTTGATAACAAGTTACTGTTAAACCCAGGAAAAACTAAGGCCATGATATGCGGTAGCAGACAGATGAGAGCAAAACTTCCTAATTTTCGCCTCTCACTTCTCGGTAAAGAAATCATTCCTGTAACAAGCGCCAAAGATCTCGGCGTAATCTTGGACTCTGGTATGACGTTCGACAGCCATGTACAAGCCACTATCTCCTCATGTATGTCTCGTTTAGGTCAAATAAACCGTGTGAAACATTGCTTTGACAAACACACATTAACAATTATTATTAACTCTCTAGTTTTTTCAAAATTATATTATTGCTCTACAGTCTGGAGCAACACTTCTCAAACAAATTTAAATAAGGTACAGGTAGTGCAGAACTTTGCATGTCGAATAGTTAGCGGAGTTGGCAAATACGATCATGTCACACCAATCCTGCAAGAACTAAAGTGGCTTCCTGTTCGACAGTATTTATATTTTCGTGATGCAGTCATGGCATTTAAATGCATGACAGGAAACGCACCTGCATACCTAACTGAACAGTTTGTGAGACGAGGTGACATTTCATCTCGCGTTACTAGGAACTCGAGCATGATTGAAACTCCTTTACACAGAACCGCAACCGGGCAACGATCTTTCAAATTCAGAATGGCCACAATTTGGAATTCCTTAAAACCAGAACTTAGGGCCTGCGAAACAACGAAAGACTTTAAACATATTTTAAAACAGAGACTTGTAGAAACATTTAAATTTAGGACCAATCTTAAGACATTTTGATGTAAATAGCATATATATTTGTGTAGTACTACCAAGTGTGTGTGTGTGTGTGTGTTGTGTGACTGTGTGTTGTTATGTGTGTCTCTCTATTATTACAGTGTATAAAAATTTAGATCAATTATGTAAAATTTCGCTGAAAAGCCTTTTAAGGGATGTGAAATTAAAATACAATAACAATAACAATAAAATGGATTTCTATTTGACAACTAGTGCCAGTACTTTTCCGCGTATCAAGATCACCCGGCAGTGTGCGGTGGCGTTTTGAGCGATTTCAGCCACGCGTGCCATCGGCACCGAATATTCAACATGTTGAATAATTTCAGTCACGAATGAACATTTCCCTCAAGTGTGCGCGCTCGAAAAGCTATCACCTTTCATTGTAGATCGAATAGGCATGCGTAATAAAACATAAGACAAAAGGAAAATAATTAATGAGGAATATTCATTTGTCGCTACTCCAGTATCACATTCTTCATTAATTATTTTCTTTTTGTCTTATATTTTATTATAAGCATGCCTATTCGATCTACAATGAAAGGTGATAGCTTTTCGAGCGCGCACACTTGGGGGAAATGTTCATTCGTGACTGAAATTATTCAACATGTTGAATATTCGGTGCCGATGGCACGCTAGCCTGCGTGGCAGGCCTTCAATTTTATGGGGGGCCTAATTTGCAGCGGGCAGGATTTTGGCGGACTTCGGGGGAGCAAGCCCCCCATAAAATTGAGGGCCTCCCACGCAGGCTAATGGCACGCGTGGCTGAAATCGCTCAAAACGCCACCGCACACTGGGGGAACTTGCTTACGCCAACAGTCACGAGTGACGCTCAGCTCAGCTGATAGCTCCAGTGTGCGCCGTGCTTAAGATGCATGAGTCGTTTTATAAGCACGTTAAAACATTCGCACGATCTTTATCTGATATACAAACTATCAGCCAAAGATCGGCTGCTCATGTTTTAACCAGTAGTGGTTTTAATTGGTACTTACAACACTGATGAGCGACCGTACGTGTTGTACTTGTATAGGATAACAAACTCAAGCCGAAGGCGCGGGAGTGTTGTAAATGGCTTGTGAAACGTCTTGATTAGAACATTCGGCGTATTCTTAAACAATTTAAAATAAATTAATGATATTTGGTGAGAAAATTAAACTTAAAGTTCATGTAAATCAGCATGATTCTGTATCAGATATACAAACTCCTTCACAGTCATGATTCCTAGCCTTATGTATTCTTCATAAATTATTAATAATTTGACAATTTAGGATAAAAGCCCTCTGACACTGTACTAATTTTTCAAGCAAACTTAGACAGATCTCAAAAAATCTTTACTGAATTCTTATATTATAGAACTATTTTGACCACTTTGACATCGAGAATATCAACTGTTACAAAATTTCACTCGCAAATTATCTTGTAAAAAGCAGCACAACGCGGGAATATAGAAATATCCATATGTTAATAATGTAAACCATTTTAAAACTATACCATGCATAGAAGAAATTAGGGAATGTATCGCTTGTACAAAACCTTGACCAATGTCCATATCTGGATAGTTTACATGCATAATGAAAATTGCGAAGAATATTTGCCTGCATGTAAATAATCCCATTTACATGAAAGTACAGTACATTTATTTGTGGTAAACCATAGATAAAATTTGTACTTTACAAAATCTCCATAGCATAATTATCATGTATAAAACTACAGCAGTCACAGCTTGTATAACATGGATAAATATCAGTCTCTCTGGATGTTTGAACATCATATTTTAAACTACAGTTTTAGTGTAACAAGTATTCAGTTGCAAACATGTATCCCTGAAGCACTTTTTTATACTTTTTTGTGTACACGATTGTTTAGGTACAATTTTGATTAAGGTACGTACAAGAGCAAATTATCTAGTTTACTTATTTACATGTATCCACTAACAATAAACTGAAATGCAATATGATAGTATGCATGTGGTATATTCTAAAATCCTACACGGTCAAATAATGGTAAGCCCTAACGGGTAACACTAGATTTATACATTAATTAAGGGAACATGCATCCACTATGAACTTCACATTCAACTTCACAATGCATCCACTATGAAATTCACATTGTAATCGAGTAAGATTATTATTCAAAAAAATTGAATATATCTTGCAGTAGACATTAAAATCAGCTTGTGCATGGACGGACATCTGGGCGGGAGGTATACAACCTTGTACTGTTGCATGTCAGATGATTTCTCCCCTCTTCCCGTAGATAAAACTGAATGTCTGCCACGAGAAGGAGTTTCGGGATCTGTTCTCGAAAGAGCCATTTTGCTCTGTCAATGGCAGGCAATTTTAAACCTGGCAGGGGGTGTCTGTAATATACCGCATGCACATAGGTTTCCAGTTGAAGCTGGGCGATATACGAATATCGTATATCGCCCAGCTTCCTATGTCCTATTTGTAGATCAAATGATGTAAGTGACGAACATAATCACTTTTCAAGTTGTAATAATAATAAATTAGTAAATCTTCAAAAAAATATGCATATAACCAACCTCATTCCCAACCTCATACTACATGACGATTGCATGCATGTAAATAGTTTATTACGGGTGAACGATTCTGTATTAAGATTTAAGTATCCTATATATGTCCAGTGATGGTCTGATGGAAATCAAATATTATTATTATTACTAGTACCATTACCAACTCACTAACTCGCCAACTTCATGCGATTTTCGTGTTTAACTGAAGGGTGAGAGATTGGGTTGGTATCAGGTTAGGGTTAAGAGTTCGCGGCTCTTATTTAGCTATACCAGGGCTATACAAAATATACACAGCCGCGGTCTTGAAAAAAACTTCATTGTGCAAAATCGCACGAAGTTGGTGAGTTATATATGGACACCATCCTGGCAGGGAAGGTGTTGAAATCAATGCATCATGTAGCCTACCGGCAATACGACTTACAGGAATGCGTTGTATATATGGTCCATTTGTAAATAAATTGCCTTTCCCCTGCATGGCTGTACCATGTCGTACACCATATCTGTGGGCCAGGGCCACATAATCAACCTGATCTGGAGATTGTAAATCTAAATTGTTGTACTGTGACTATATTTTATATAATATATAAGTTCTTGTGTAGTCTCTATATACAACTGATCCTGCAGAGATCGAAAGACAAAAAATTTAAACATTGTTGACATTTCCCCGAGTTTCGTCCTACCGAAGTGTGTGTTGTTCTAACTGTTACATTTGCTTTAATTAAATATCCCATAAACGTTGGTTAAATATCAGGTAACAGGCGTCGATTCAACGTTCATTCATGGTTGATTGCAACGTCAACTTGTCAAGTAATCTCAACATTTCAACGTCAGGAGAGTAACGTTGATCCAATTTGCATTTTCAACCTTTTTCAATGTCAAACACGTCTGGAAGGTCATGTCAACATCATTTTGCTTGCTGCAGGGCACTAATTACTATCTCGCACTTCAATGCCAATGGGAAAGTTTTCTCCAACAAAAACTTTGAACTTTGCAAACATATAACAGTTTCTGCTATAGATTAAATAGGAACTGCAAGCATGAAAGGGAACGCCGAGCACGTATCATATAAAACATTGACTTCACTGCATGAAACCAACTATATACATGAGCGTGAAAAAACAAACCAAAGTCAAAATTTAGGTCATTCACTTCAGTTGAATGTTTCTACTTTATTATTATCTTGAAATATATACATGTTGAAATTGCTTAGCTGTGGTAAGTACAGGATCTTGGATCATGCATGCTGCTCTTAAATTAACCGGTAAAATGAAACGCGCATATATGTAGCTGCACAAACATGGTAATATGCAATAAAGTGTATTATTATATGGCTTTTCAAAATTCTCTATTCTGATTGGTTGACAAGCGGTCCGTAAAAACTCATATCCAGACCGTGGTCCGTATTTTCCGTATCTGGACCGGTGTCCCGGATGTCGTTTATCTGGCGGGAAATTTTTGCTTTGGAAACAGAAAAAAATGTTTGCTTTTTAAATTCACAATTGTGCTTTACAGATAAAAATTTCAAACAACCAAATTGTTTTTGATTGAGCATGCATTGCCTACC